CTCTCTCTCTCTCTCTCTCTCTCTCTCTCTCTCTCTCTCTCTCTCTTTCCCCTCCCTCTCTGCCTAGAACATTCTCCTCTCTCCTAATTGCCTTGGAAAAATCAAACAAGTCCATCAATCTCACAGGCCGCCTCCGACAGACTCCCATGTTCCTCTCTGCTTGCTCAGCACTGGCCCTGCCTGTACCTCCCTGAGAACCCTCTGCAGTGCCCTAACCCTGCTGCTGTCTTTCTCCCCTTCCTGCTATGAAAGGCGTGGATTATGCCAGCTGAATTCCTGGAGCAGTTGTGATCATCGAGTCAGAGCTGACCACAAGCTGATCCCCCAGCGGCTTTTAAGAGGCAGTAAATCGCATGGGAAGGTACTGTCCATCTCTTATTTGAACTGTACTTTGTGTTGGTAACAGTTCCTCACCATCAGGCCACCAGAGCTCCTCTGGAGCACAGCAAACATCTAATAATGTTGGTCAAGGGAAGGAAATTATGTGATTCCCTCCCATGATTCCCAAACCACACATCTAGCTCTGCTCACTTTGCTGGGCTCCACCAGGTATCTCCTAGCGCTTCTGAAGACGTCTCCACTTAGCTAGTTCACTTTTCTTTCAATCTTAATACAAAACTTCTCTTCTAAAGAGCATTTCTTCATATAGGCACATTTCTAGTCAAGGTACCACCAGTCTTCCAATACTGCAGGCCAGAAAGAGACTGGCATTATCATCGATGGATCCTTTTTGGAATCTCATACAAAGAATGTAATCCTTCTTTGATACATTCCTGACACAGATGAACAGATGATATTCTCAGCATTCCTGGGTACAGATTTGTTCTGACTGGCTGTGCAATATTGTTCATTATGTTGTCCAGTTCCTTTCTCTTGCACGGCATCCTGAACCAACTCTGAAAATGTGACTCTTACATGGCTTCCCTGCTCATAGCACCTCCCCTGGCCTAACAACAAGGCCCAGGTCCTCTGCTCCACAGAACAACACATCTCTATTTCTTATCCTTTCATTACACAGTCCATGTTCCAATTTAGCAGAGAATACTATCAATACATGCAACAGAATCCATAGCTTCTGTTGTGTTTAAATTTTAAACGAATAAAGAAATTTTAGGGGGAAAGGAATTGTACATAACTCCTTTTAAAGAACACACCTATGGGTATCAAGTAAAAAACTGAAAGGTGACTCTTCTACACTGTTCTCATCTCCAGTCCCACTCCCTAAAGTAATTACTGCTTTAGTTCAAATCTTCTGACTCCCTGCAGCTTCCTCCAACAAGTATATCCTCATAAGCTTCTTGGATTGAACCATCACACTTAAGGTCCAGAAGGACCCTGTTTATAACTTGGCTGATTCCAAGTGTGGCATTTTCCTCTTCAATGAACCTTGCCACCACCTAAGACAAGATGAAAACACCAAGTGCTCTTGGACTTCATTCTAGGTTCTAGCTCTGTACTACTCAGAATGGGCCCAGTACTCGGTCTCTGATAGGCACATACAAAATACTTTGTCAATGCTGATTGATTCCAACTTTGCCCCCTCAAGTAGAAATATTCAAAATCTCTACCCAGCTAATCCTACTCCCCTAATATGGTCCAGCCTGAGGAGAGCACACCTGTCAACCCAGCTCCATGTCAGCAGAATATGAACTGGGCCCAAGTACCTCTTCCCTGGGGCAGAGGCACACAGAAGAAGACAAGCAGAGAGAATGAGGAGAGGAAGGGATGGAGGAATGGGACGCACATGTGTCTCAGCTGTGGATGCAAGATCCACACCCAGGGTGGTTTAAATGTTTGAAATTCTCTGCAGTGTAAATCAGTAGGCTTCAAGAGAATATGAACTGCCAGTGCCCAAGTTTCCAGGGCCATCCGCTTTTCTGCCTCAAAGCAGCCACAGAACCCCTCAACCCGTCAGACCACAGGCCCCTTGTGCTGAGCAGCTGCTCCCCTTGGGGCTTCCTGATAGTCTGCGCAGACTCCCGGCCCCTCCTCTTGCTCTGGTTCCACAGGATAAAGCTCCTTCAGCACACAGAAACGTGCTATAAAGTACCACTTCGTCTGTCTGTGAGGAGCCTATGTCTTGAGAAAGGTTGAGACATTTTCATGTGAGGGTGTTAAAGCTGGGTCTGGAAGTCCTTTGGGGTCAAAGAAAGGGCCGAAAGGGTAGTGGCTTCAGGTTCTAAGCCCAGTACCTTGAGTCAGTCAGGAAAATTTTCTTCTGATTTCATAAAAGGAATCTCTTGCAATGGGGAAAAAAGGGCGTAGGGATAATCAATGACCTAAAACGAAACCCAGAGAGTCGAGCCCTGGAGATGAGTACGTGTCTGGAAGTCAGGTTCAAGTTCAGCTCTATAATTTGGATTGCTCCCCCCGAGTCCTCCTGAGCCGACTAGGGTTGGGAGAAACACTTCTCCCTTCTTCCCTCTCAGGCCAGTGGAACCTGCTGTTCTGAGGCACAAAGACTCTGGTTTAAAGCAGAATAGCAAGGACAGGAAGGCTCTCAGGGAAAGGGAAAGACGGGGCCGAGGATTCCCCAAGTGACTGCAGGAGAGGTTTGGAGGCTGGGCAGTCTCCTACCTTAACACCGCCATCTGATTTCTTGTTCAATAGGCTTTTGGCAGCTGTGAAAACAAAGAGGAAAATCAAGTCTCCCACATTGTAACCTCTCCCCAACCTGAAATCCGGCAGCCAGGTTCGAGCGACGGGGTGTCCGACAAGAGCGCCAGACTGCACTGTCTGGAACCCTTGAGTGAACTCGAGAAACCAGTGTCTGAACCATCTCTGGAAGAGACCCCCTCCTCAAGAAGGGCATCCTGAGTGGCATCAGACCCCTCAGATATCCTGGGTGCCGATGCCCCTCTACCACAGATGAGAGTTTGGCTGAAACAGGGACACACTTGAGAGGAGAAACCCGTGCTCATTACTGGAGCCGCCCGAGGCACTGGGAACTCTGCCTTTGACAGTTTCTGACCCAGGCCTGGAAGCAGAGTGCCAGGGTGAATGAGTGAGGGCCCAGTCCCTAGATGCCCCAGAGCTTCTCGAGCTGGCCAAGCTGGAAGGAAGGATGCAAGACATCTCCTGAGTGGTCGCCAAAAACAGTGTCACAGTTGACGAGGAGACCAGACGTGAGGGCACACAGACACAGACACAGAGACTAGGATCACCTATGGGAGGGTTTCGCCAGGGGGTTGAAGCCGTGACTGGGCAGGGCTTCACCAAGCTGACTGGGTCCTACCTTGCTGCCCTTCCCCCAGAGCCCACTCTCTGTATCCATGAGCAGGCAGGATTGGGCAGAATAACAAGACACCAAACAAATGCCAGCCAGGCACAGGTGAGGCTCATGGCTGATGAGCTCTGTGCTTGAAGGCTGGTGACACCAGCTGGCCACCAAGGCCTCAGGAGGGCAGCAGACAGTGGGTGGGAGAATCTGGGAGGCACAGGGAGATGAAAACAGCCCAGCTGTCTGGTCCATCTGGACTGCCTTGGGTTTGGAACTCGGTCCCACCCCGTGCTAGCTGTGTTTATCTTGGGCGAGTTACTTAATCTCTCTGAACCGTAATTTCCTTGGTAGTGGCTGGGATCAGAGGGGACCATATGTGAAAAGCAACCAGCGAAGGGACTGGCATGAGATGAGTGCTCAGATGTGAAGAGTTGCTATCACTATTGCTACCACTTTTCTCTTCTTGGCCATTCCTTCCTCAAGCTGTGTCCCATCTCTCTCCAAAGGGAACAGAGGTGCTTCCATGCTAAGAACCCTGACTTTCAACACTGTTCTTTGGTCTCATCTCCAGGACCAGGTCCCTGTCATGGTCAGGTGCTGTGGAACGTTTTCTATTACACCTGACCACCAGCTGAGAGAGGTACTTTACCTGTGTCTGTCAAATCATTACTGGGAAGCTGAAAACCTAAATCTTGTATCTGTTCCACCTCCACAGAGCCTGGTTTTGTCTGCACCGAGATCGAGATCTGGGTTTTTTAACAAGCTCCCAGATGATTACTTGTCCAGTACAGACAAGGCTGAGAGCCTTCTTTGGCATATGAGCTTTTAAAAGTCATTGAGGAGATTACATCATTCATTATCCCCATTGCAAAGATGAGGAAACTGAGGCTGGAAGAGCTGAGATGAGGTACTGGGTGTGGGGGACAGCAGAGTTGGATTCAAACCTGGGAAGGTTGACCCCAAAGCTACCTCACTCTACAGCCTTGCAGGCCTGTCAACATGAGGGATCACAATTCTGAGGGGCGAGGCTTCTTCTCTGGGTTCTCTGGGATCTGTGGAGGTTTAGTCCTATCAGTGGGCAGCTTTGGGCCATGCCCAGGCTGTCTCTGGGGGCTGCAGTCTGCCGCGGCCCTCTGCAGGCAAGTCAGGCTCTTAGGCTGTCTGGAGGAAAGTGCTCCTGCCGCCCAGCTCCACGTCCCCCAGGCCACTGCCTCCTGGGAGTCGGCAAGCGCCCAGCATGCACAGCTGGTTAGGGGGCTTCGGAACACCAATGCGCTTGCAGATGCCAAGTTAGGTCATCCGTCTGGCATGCCCATCTCAGCCCGCAAGCAGGGGACTGGTCTCCCTGGTGAGTGGGCCTGGCATGCTGGCCCTCCCGGTGGGGTGGCAGGGAGCCGAGACAGGCGGTCGGGGAGGACTCATGCCACGTACCTTGCCCGGCCAGGCCGGCGGCGCTCGCGGCAGGCGAGGCGGGGGCGGAGCTCTGCCTGCCAACTGAGGGGATACAGTCTCTCAGTGCACAGAGCTGCCGCAAAGCCACGGGGGCCGTCAGCAGCGAGCATGCCCCAGCGCCAGGCGCGCGGGACCCTGGCCGCCCGCGCAGCAGCCGAGCTGGGGGAGCGGAGGCGCCAGGGTGGCAGGCTGGTGAGGCAGGTGCGGCCCCGCGGCAGTCTGGGGGCCTGAGAGAACGAGGCGGGGGCGACGCCACAGCTCCTTGTGAGAGTGGCTTCAGCTCCTGTCCCACGACCACCGCAGGTGAGTCAACAGGTAAGAGCCTGGCTGGCCGAGAGGCAGGGGCCTTTTCTGAGGTCGCCCATCAAAGACGGAGAAAAGGGAGCCTTACTTTTGACTTCCCCTTGCCTAGGACCTAAATAAGGACACTATCAGAGAGCAGGAGGCAGGGCGGAGCCCTTCTCCCCATCACATTCCATAGAAACGTGGGTACTCAGGCCCCAGGGCCCCTCACTACTGTGGCCCCAGCTCCTCAGAGACCCTCTCAAGTGAGTCCTGGGAGAGGCAGCTTATCTCAGCTTACATGTCCATATTCTGAGGGCCCAGAAGCCCCAAAAATGAGCCTTTGGGAATAAAATAAAAGTTGCTAAAGCAAACGCATTCTAGAAGCCCTGGTTCCACTATAAGCCAAGCTGCCAGAGTTCAGGGCTAAACTGTACCCCCTAATTTAAAAATAAATCAAACCACTTGTCATCATGTCAACTCTGACTCGTGTGCAGAGCAGAACAGCCACAGGGTTTCATGGCTGTGGCCTTTCAGAAGCAGATCACCAAGCCGTTCTTCTGAGGTGCCTCTGGCTGAGTATGAACTGTCAAACTTTTGGTTAGTGGTAGAGTGCTTAACCATTTGATTCACCAAGGGATTCTCAAGCTGTATTTCTAACGGGGAAAACTCAGCAAATAGCCTAGCTGCCATCTTTTAATAGAAGCTTCTAAAAAGACTTTGTCCTCACTATCCCAGAGTCAGAGCAGAAGAGGTCACCTGGAATGAACCCCGAAGAGGGAGCCTCTGGACAAGCTCCAAGTCCAGCAAAGTCCGAGCAACAAGGAGTCTGCTCTTCAGGGACAAGTCAACGGCTTTATCCTAATACAGCCTGATTTCCTGAAACAAGCACACCAATTTCCTAAGATGATGTGAGGTGGAGGAACAGTGTGGAGGCCACAGGAAGGGGCCAACCTATTGCTCTTTGCTTCTTCCACTCGGAAAGCAGAGCTGCAGATTATCACTGTAAGGCCAGCACACAGAAATAATGCTACAAACCTTTTAGAAAGGCTCTTAAACCAAGTGAGTAAAAGCTGCAAATACGGGACCAGGGCAGGAAGGAGGGCTTACAGCCTCCTCTCTGCTGGAGGGGCAGCCAGGAATTCTATTCTGATTTGTGAGAGATGAATCCAGAATAAAAATTCTGCCCTCATGGGCATTGACAACACAAGAGGTCCATTCTTGGGCTGCAGGCTGGGGCCACCCAGTCCTGATGTCCCTAGAGCCCTGTGTCCTGCGGCTAGAGTTCGTGAGAGGCCTGGGGTCACCAAACCTGTGGTATTCTTAGGGCCAGAGCTCTTGGGTTACTCAGAACTAGTTACTAGTCTCTGGGACTCAAGTTCAAGGGAGTGACTTCTACCGAGCTGTAGCTAGCAAGCCCTCCAGTCTCCTCTCCATGACAGGGTGGAGGGAGAGTTTCATTATGAGAATGACAGAAAGGGCCCAAACCAAAGGAGAAAGGTAGGGAGTCAGAGGCTAGGGTAAGACAAGGGGAAATGGCTAACTAGGAAAGACCTCTGTATTCAGTCCTGACATTAATCTTTCCCCCACAGAAATCCACTTAGCTTCTTAAATGAGGGCAAACAATGATGGGAGTGTCGGGGATCAGGGGAGCTGGAGTGTCTTGCATCTTGAAAAGAAATGTCAAGTGTGATTTCCAAATTACTGATCCCAACTCCTCCAATTTCTCATGCAAACAGAAACAAGTTCTTCCCCTTGGCTCTGCTGGTCTCTGTCTCCACTCTGACTGCTAGTTCTCACAGAGGATCCTTTACAAGGCCAAGTCATAGTAAAACGTTGAAACATCTGGAATACTTTGTCTTCATCATCTCGGCTTGGACATAATGAAGCCCGGGCTGATCTCCACCAGCAGATGACTGAGAGAGACTAGAAGCTTTCCTACATCTTAACTCTTCTTCCCAAGCATATCCTCAATACCCTGTTGTTGGCTGTTAGGCTCCAGCGAGTTAACTATGACTCATGTGACCTTTTAAACAACAGATCTGAACCTCACCCTGTGTCCTGTGTCATCCTCACCATCTCCATTAAACTCAAGCTCACTGTTTTAGTCACTGTTGTCAATCTGCCCTGTTGAGGATTTTCCTCTCGTTCATATCCTAGACTAACTAAAATCCCTAAATGCTGCAAGTCTACAGAGAATGAAGAAAGAAATTATGGAGATAAATCAAAGGGTGGGCAGGCTACTTCCTGGGAAGGGCGTAGGGGACAGGACTCCTAAATCTGAACTCAGACAAAGCCTCACGCAATCTCAGGTCATAGGATCCCGCAGTGACAACAGCAGTCCCTCAAATCCGGATCCTCAATCATTCTGGTCAAGGCCCACCTAGTGCAGCCTGGGAGGGTGAGACCCCTCCTCCTGACCCACTCACCTCAGGAGGAATAAAGTACACCACTGGGAAAACATACCTGAGAAATTCCTGGAGACAAGCATGGTGGTGAGGATGGCACCCTAGGGAGAGAGGAGGGTCCTGTGAATTCCATCAGACTCTACAAAGCATGGTCTGCTCTTGGGCAAAGGCAACTACTGGCTAGAGGCAAAGACATCAGGTCTTGACCCCTAACTATAATTGTTCACAACTCAGCCCAGCCAGGAGCAAGGTCCCTTTGGTGAGCAGACAGGGCACCCTGTTAAAGAGCATAGCTTCAGGGTCCCAAGCCCAGAAGATGAAGACTCACCTTCAGTTTTCTTCGGGCATTGAACTTGCGCAAGCATTCTACAGTCTCCTGCCGATGCATCATAGACGCCACAGTGGATCGTTGCTGGAAGCAAAGCAGACAGGTCAGTGAGCCTCCACCCTGGCCCACTGCCCTCGCCGCATCCCTAGCACTGATGGAATGCTCAGGAGGGGCCACACCCGCAGCCAGCATCCGTCACCCCATGGTACCCACCACTCCATGGCTGCTCCAGAGTGAAAATGAGTTCATATATAGGAAAGTGCTTTTACAATAAAACAAGACCCAAAACTCAAGGTGAGAGCAGGACAGTGATCTAAACGCTACCACAGTGCTGATAATGGATGCTATGGGACGGTGCTCAGGAGAGCATCTAATCTGGGGAAATCGGACAGTGTCCTGACCACTGTGGTGCTTATCGGGACGCCTGTCAACCCTGTGCTGGACAGTGAGAGAGCGAAAGGACAGGGGAGTCTGCTCTCCCAACACACCTTTCACCCCTCTCAACACCTGCACGAAGTCCAGAGCGATGCTCTAATCTTAGAAATTTAGGAGTATGTCACAAAAAAATTCTTCACTGTATCTATGGTTTCATTTCCTTGCTTCTTTGAACAAGAGTCCACTGGACATGTGTCACATCCCCTTGAAGACTCAGGGCTGTTGAAACTATCATTAATGACCATGGATGTCCCAAAACTGTGAGGTCCTCAGGAGCTACTGGGATAGAGGACTATGGAAGGTGGGAGCCAAAAAAAAATGATTCCCCAAAATTCTATTTCCTCAATCTGTCTCTGTTTTAAGTTGCTCACCCCCTCCCTTGCTTTGCTGTAAGTTGTCTCAGCCTGTTAGAAAAATCATTCCTATAAATCCTTGTGTCTCCAACTCCATTAGTAAGACTGACCTTCTTCCTGGTCCATACCTCTTCCTGGTTGCCAAAGTACCCCCCGTCTTCTCTAGTTTCAATGTAAACTTCCCCATAAGGAGACATGGAGGCCACTCAACAACCACTCATTCACCTTCAGCTCCTCACAAACTGATTCTCATCTCTCTTTAGCCCCATCACTTCCTGTGAGCAAGGCTGGGCCCAGAAACCCTCTGTTTCTATTATCCAAATCCTTGCTTCCTCAATCATCCAGTTATTTCAACCCCTCCTCCTATAGCAGTATCGCCTTAGCAGTCTATACGTTATATTTGTCTCTCTAATCCAAGAAAAAACCAGTATCACCACTCAAAAATGAAAAACCTCCAACTAAATCCATGCCTACTCCCATCACCTTCTAGCTTTCAAAAAATATAACCTACACTCCCTCCTCACTCCGATCCTCTCTCTGCTTTTTTTGGGCAAAACACCAAATCTATATTTATAGTCTCATATAATAACTAAACTCATAAATAACATCAGTCATGCCTACGGTTTGACAACTTAAGGACCAAAAATTAAACTACACCTGAATGAAATAAATATGTAAACAAGAGTCCAACAAATTGTACTTTTATTATATGTACCACTGTGTCAGTGAGAAGAAAAGGAAAAAAAACATACAAAATGGGTAAACAAGATTTTGAAGTACAGGTCTGGGAGGTGAAGGGGAATTTCTCCCCATCCCTTATCCTTTAAAAAGGGGATCTATTTCCACCACCAAGACAACCATGGCCCAGCCAGCTGTATATTTATATGATAAAAATGGGTTTTCCATCTTTGTCATGGATTCTGTAGTATCTGAATGATCCCTCACCAAGACCTTCTGGAATCTTCTGCTCCTGACTCTCCTCCTACCCTGCCTTCTCATTCTCAGCTCCCCCTAACTCAACCTCTCCCTGTCATGAAATGCCAGTGCTTATTCATCAATTCTTATCTTCCTGAAGCAATGCCAAGTGTACACACAGTCTGATGGGCATAGAAGCCAAGCTACTTCTACAGCCTCACGACCATCTGTGAGGGAATGGCCATATCCCATATTTCCAATTTTTAACTTCTAATCTCTAGGACCAGATTTCTAACTGCCCACAGATGTCTCCATCTGGGAGTCCCTCAGACTACACACAACATGTGCAAGACCAAAATAGTCATCTTTTCTTGAAAACCGGCTCTTTCCTCCACCAGTGAAAGTTACAACCTTCCATTTGGATAGTCAAGTCAGAACTTCTGTTCTGCCCTCCACAAGTGCAACTGGTCACTAAATCCTTTTGATTTTAACCTCTAAATCGTTCCTGCATTTGTCTGCTCCCACCATGAAGCTCTCTTATACAAGCGACCTCATATGATTTAGCTTGGAAGACTACTACAGCTTCCTGGGCTTCTTGCCTCCATCGTCTTTATTCTCCAATTTCATTTTCCAATTGCAGAGCAATCTTCCCTAAATGCAAATTTCATTCCCTCTTTAAAGCTCTTCAATGGTTCCCTAGTCTTTCAGAATAAAATCTAAATTCTTCAGGCAGAAACCTGTATGCCATGGAAATCTTTCTGGCTTCACTTATATTCCTGTCATCATATCTTAATTTATAACCAAATTATTATTCCTTAAACACGTCACAGTTCCCACTGCTTCTCACATCGGCACATGTTAACTTCTGTCAGACAACTGACATCCTAGGGAACTCCTATTCATTTGCAAGAACCACGTCAGAGGTCGCCTCCTCCATCTAGCCTTCAGTCATTCCAATTCCTACCTGGAGAGTGCAAGTTTCTACGCGCTAGCTAGATTCTTTTTTGTACGTGTCACATCATAAAGACATTATCTGTCTAAGCATCTGTTTCCTCAGATAATCTTCGGGTTCTTTGGGGGGTAGCGAAAATGCCGCATTTATCTTTGTATCTCCAGCACCCAGCCTGGTGACCAGCACAAGCGGCAAGAATAAGCAAACACATTCTGGTTGCCAAGACACCTAACCGTAGCAGACCCTTTTACTTGCAAGTGGTAAAATTATACATGGAAACAGAGTCTGTCATCCTGTCCTGCCAGCCAAGGGTTTCTCTTGGGAATTCGGCACCTGAGCTTCAAGATCAAGCTTTGGGACGCTCTTCTGAATTGCTCGGTGTTCCCTCTCCCTTCTCTGCTGGGTCTTGTTCACATTGCTATTAGGGTCAGACGAGAGCTGGGAGCTCGGCACGCACCCTGAGCTTTGGGATGCACTCTGGATTTTGCTACCTTCTGTCAACTACCTCGAGTCCTCCAGGCCAGCCTAAACTCTCATTCAGAACAGAATGAAGCCACAGGCTGACAACAGTGAGTCAGGAAGAGATGGATAGAGGTCCCTGAGCTCCAATCATCCCAGGGTCCCTCCTAGTGACACCTATTGACCTTCAGGTCCTCCCCAGTCCTCCTTTTCTGCTGGGACCACACTCAGTGCCTAGAAGAAGTCTATGCTTGTAAAAAGGGAGGGTACGCAAGGTACAGTAAGCGTCGGCATTTTTAATCCCCTTTATTTCAGACAAGGAAACTTACGCAGACCCATGGGTGCTTGAGAGCCTGGTCAGCTGTGATGCGCTTTGCTGGGTTGATGGTCAGCATCTGGTTGATCAAGTTCTTGGCTTCAGGAGTTACCGTGTCCCACTCTGGTGATGGAAACTAAGGAGCAGGTACAGGGGAGGAAGGACATGAAATGTGTGAGCCTCATACCCTGGAGGGCAGGCTCTATCTTCATCCCAGCTCCTGTTATGGGGTCCCTCTGTGGCACCTAAAGCTGGTGGGTGGGGAGCTAGAGAAGCTTTGAGAAGATTACAGAACTAGTATCAACTTAAAGACCAAGAAAGGGAAAACAGAACAGTTGCAGATTGCAGTTCTTCCTGTATCTGAAGTGTAGAACAAATCAAGAAGAGGCATCTGGCATCTTCTCTTTCTAGGAAGAAACAGTGCTCTATGTCCCATGACAATGGGTGGCCTCCAGACTCCTTTCCCTACATCCTGCTGGCTCTCTTTTGGCCCACCACATGGCCCTCTTATCTTTGCAGATAACAGATTAAAGGAAGGCTGTGCAAAAAAAGAAAAGCTGCTTCCTAGGAAAGAGAGTGGCAAGAACTGAGCCCTGTATGTCCCTCCCTGGATCCTCAGAGATCCCCACACTCCCCTAATCACATACTAAAGACTGTCCCTTTCTCTGACAGAGCCCCAGGAGTGGAAGTTCTGCCCTCTGTGGCTCAGTGGCTCCATTCTCCAGGGAACCCGTCCTTACATCATAGGCTCCAGCCTTGATCTGCTGATACAGCTTGTGCTGATCCTCGTCCCAGAAGGGAGGGTATCCCACCAGGAGGATATACAGGATGACCCCTACGAGACAGAACACACAAGTCACCAGGGTCAGCCACCTACTTCCCTGAGGAACCAAGAAAAGCCACACAGGGCTCAGAGCCACCTGGAAAATTGAGGGCCAATCAAGCGGTGGATGTACGGGCCCGCTGACAATGCTATGCCCCTGACCTTTTGCGTGCCCCACACTTTGTGTCTTTGAGTCACTTCAGGGAGTTATTCCAACACAACTCATCCACTAGGGCGTGGGCAAACTCCTTTCCAAGGAGGATGCCATGGAATCCAGGGATCCCTCGAGGAGGGTATGTGCAGGGACCAGCAATCCCAGGGATACTGGAGCAAATCCCATGGTTTCACATGGACCAGGCCCTCACGGACCCTGCAAGGAACAGCGATGCCTTGTTCTCATCACTACTGAGGCCGAGTGTTTAACATCAAAACGCTGAGCATGTGATATGGGCTTACCGCAGGCCCATATGTCCACGGGCTTTCCATAAGGATCTTTCCTCAAGACCTCAGGGGACAAGTAACCTGGGGTGCCAGCAAAACCTGGAGCAAAAGAGAAGGCAGAGGTTCACTGAACCCACTTCCCCTCTCATTAAATCTCCATGGGTAAATTCCTCTGTCTTTTTCCCCCTCCCCTGTTATTTTTGCTGATGAGCTCTCAACACATGAGCAGCAACTGATACCGCCTAGAATGCAAACCAGAGAGCGCATCTCCATGCCTTCCAGGAACTCCTGATGCCTTCCCAGAGGTGGGAGTGCACAGAGCCCCACACTGGCAAGGACCAGGCCCACGGTGCTGAGTCATGTTGGGCCAGGAGGGATCTCTGCATGCTCTCCAGTCTCTGAGGAGGCCAGGACCAGAAAGTGTCTGGCTTTAGTGCTGTAAGAGGAAGGCTGACCAGGAAGAGGAGGAAGGGCGGGGGCTGGATTTCAGGAAGACAGGGTCACCCTTACCAAACCAAGCCTGCTGTTCTCCCTGCACTTCGATGGCTAGGCCAAAATCTGCCAGCTTGACAGCAGCGCCCTTGCATTTACTTGCCAGTAGCAGGTTCTCAGGCTGCAGGAGAACAGCAAGAAAATGTGTGAGGTGCCCACCTTGGGGCCTTGGACCCAGAGGAAGAAGTTTGGGCCCATGCAGTACCAGTATCTGGCACCAGGTGGTGCCAATGCACCACAAGCAGGAGACAAGGAGGGCGCCTGGGTAATACATACCTTCAGGTCTCTGTGGACAATGTCATGCTGGTGGATATGGTTAACACTCTCCAGAATCTGATGTATACAGTGACTGAAAAGCAGAAAGAAAAGCAAGATCAGTGCAGGGTTAAACCACCTTATCCATGACCGCATGCGGTTCACAGGTTCACATGAGGAGCTAGAAAGGACTGTGGATATCTCCTAGTTCAACCTCATTTTACAGATGAGGCAGTAGGCTCAGGCAGATCACATGGCTTGTACAGGGTCACCTGCTGGATGATGATAAAGAAACTAGAATTCACTATGCCTCCTGGTGCCCCCAGAAACAGTTTCCAAGGTCCTCCTCAAGCTCATGGGAAAGTGACCATCCATGCCCTTCCTTTTCCCCAACTTTGTTCCTGGAGAAAAGGCTTGTGGGAATAAACAAGACATCATAATGCTGTTTTGGAGGAGGGTACATGCATTTGCTCACTGTAACATTTGCTGGGGTCTACCAGCATTGTGTGTGGAACAAGAAAACAAACAGGTTCATCCTGGAGAAGGAAAACCAGACTGCTCCTTGGAGGCAAAGATTCTTAAGCTTTGTCTGACATACTTTGGACATGTTGCAAGGAGGGACCAGTCCTTGGACAAGGACGTCATGCTTGGGAGGATGGAGGGACAGTGCAGGAGAGGAAGACCCTCTATGAGGCTGACTGATTCAGTGATTGGGGTAATGGCAGTAGGTGTGCCGGAGACAGTGAGATTGGCAAGGGATAGAGCAGGGTTTAGGGCTGTTGTAGAGAGGGTCGCTATGAGTCACAGGCGACTAAAAAACACATAACAACAAGATATAAAGACAAACAAAACCCAGTGCTTGCCCTAAAATGTAACACCTCGTAGGGGAACAGAACAAATACAACACACACACACACACACACACACACACACACACACACACACACACACACACACACACACCTTTAAGAAAGATAGCTTAAGAAACGCAGAAGGAACATTGATGAAAATATTTTTTACAAGGAGAAAAAAAAGAAAAAAGACAAACTACCCAGAATCATATCCAGGGATGGTTCTTGAATCAGGCTGCCCACCTTCAAACTACTGTTAAGTGTGTAGTTCAAGTTCACGGCCAGCAGTGAGTGTTGAAAGACTAGAGCAATGTTTTTAAGTAGGGGTGAGGGAGTTAGGGAGAGGAGACAGGATTTCACACACACCTCTCCCTGCAGGACAGCTGGCAGTGTTTAGGGTCATCTGGGACTGCACGCTCGCAACACTGGGTGACTGGTTGGCAGGACTCAGTGGACAGCGAGGTAGGAGGGACCTGAGAGATGTCACCTGGTTCGATCTCTTCTAGAGGAGGGGACATCTCTCTGATTGTCACAGCTAGGGTGCTGCTAGCATCAAATGGGTACACCAGGGACTTTACTTTTAACAGTCGAAAAATCATGAGATGGCTCTCACAATCTGGATTTCCAGGCTAAAACATCAGGCAGCAGGTCTGGGAGCAGGTCCAAGGAACAGGTCTTAGGGAGCAGGTCTAGGGAACAGGCATAGGGAGCAGGTCCAGGGATCAAGTCTTAGGGAGCAGGTCCGGGGAGCAGGCACAGGGAACAAGTCTTGGGGAGCAGGTCCGGGGAGTGGGTCTGGGGAGCAGGCAGGGTGTGCAGGTGAGTTTGGCTGACTGGACTGAGGCTGCATTTGGACTTCTTTTCGCTAAAATCTGATACTGGGGCTCCAACAAATGCCAAGGGGTTTTATTGAACTCTTGGGGGCCAAAGCTTGAATCTTCCCACTGGCTGTAACTGAAGAGTGGGCTAGAGAGATTTCAGACTGGGCCGAAGAGGCGAGTCACCACAGAAATGTATAATTAGAACAGAGCCAGGCAAGCAGGGAGAGCCTTCTGGCCAAAAATGGCAAAAATGTGAAGTGTCCCAGCACAGCCAGGCCAAGCCCACGGGTACAGTCCCTCTCCCCCGCCCCCAGGGGCCCTGAGCCATCACCCTCCTGCAGCCTCCCCTCCTTTCCTGGCTCAGTCCTCCCCTGCTGGCACTGGAATTCATCTCCCTACTTGAGAATTTTTCCTGAGTCTGAAGCATCTGAAGTTGATCAGCAAACACTGGTCTCTCAGGGTTGAGAAATTCGTGAGGAAGCTGCACTCCCCCACTCTCCAGAGGGAGCCAGAGCTGCCACATAAACCAGATAAGCTGCAGGCAGGATGATCAAAACCAGGTTGTAAGGACATCACCCTCAGAGAACGCCTGGGATGGAGGAGGAGCTGAGGCGGGAAAGGCAGGCCAAGCTAGCGCCTGAGAGCTGTGGGTGGGAGCGATTCTGCTGTGTCACATGGAGGAGCTGCCAGGGCTTCTGAGAGGCTGCGGGCCGAGGGGGCAGTCAAGATACAAAGTGATGGAGCCGGATCCCTATGAGAAGATTCTGGGTGGACCACTAACCCACAGATCTACAAGCCTCGGAAACCCTACTGTCCCTTCTATCTCTGGATTATTCCTGGTGCCTCAGCTCTGCACCTTTACACACTTCTCCTGTCACTTGCCGTCAACTTGGCTCTGACTCATGGTGACCCACTAAGTGCAGAGGAGAACTTCTCCACTGGGCTGGGGGCCAAGAGGATTTGTTAGAGGAAAGGGGGGGCAGGGAGGTGCCTTGGGCAAGCTCAGGAATATATAGGGATGCAAAGAAAAGGTGTTTCTGGGAGTCAAGTGTAAAGTACTTAGGAGAGTTTTGTGAAAAATTGATTTGTGACCTACAGAATGCAGCCCATACCTTCTCTCCAGACAACAGCTCTTCTGATCTCCCACAAAGAATTCTAATAGGCACCAATCTGGCATTCTAAGGCATCCAAGGCTTATTTCAATTCCAAACCCCAGATCTACACTTGAACCAGCAGCTTCTCATAACTGGGGTGGCCCTTTGTCTCACCTGGCATCAGCTTCGCTGTAGTACTCTCTGGCCACGATGTCTTCAAACAGTTCTCCGCCAGTAACACTGTAACCAACAGAGGGAAAGGGTCAGACGTGGTAGGGGTCAGGCGGCCAACCCCAGCGTCAACTAGGCCTGTGTCACATGGAAGAATGAATGTCTTTGACGAGAAACTCTGCCTGCACTCATTTCATGTGAGAGCCGAGAGCACGCACTAATCCTTCAGTACATGGGGCACTGCCTTTGGGAACAACAGGCCCTCTCTTCCTTCTGAACATGTTTTCTTCTATGACCTACAAATCACCCAATACTCTGGTAGACACAAGACGTGGAGAGCTAAGAGCAACCAACCAACTAAGCAGAGAAAACGGCCATTCTTTGAGGCAATGTGAACACCACCAAGCCATGGCTGCCCGTGGAGGACAGCGGAATTGAAGAGCCACGGGGCTGACGGCAAGACTCAACCCTGAAAACAGTGGAGCAGACTCTTTAGAAGGGCAGAGCCATGCTACTGAGATTAAAATACAACCAATGTGGAGGAGCCACAAACTGGCGCCAAGTTTACAACTAATACAAGTGACCTCTGAGTTCCCAGAATTGTAAAGGTCATGCAAAGAGCACTAACTGATCCTGCTGAGTTAAGGCACCAAGAAACAAGACGCAAGCAAGGTGGCTAAGGAACAGAGATGCCAAAGCAAGGCCACTGCTGGGATTCTGCACCTGTGAGACACAGAGGGAGCAAGGACATCCCCTCAGGGCTTCGGGCAAGCAACACACCCCGTTACCAGGAAGTTCAAAATCAAATCCTTCCCCCTTAGGCAAAGGAGAGGGACCCTCTGCCCGGGCTGCAGACCCAGCTCAGGCCTCTTCCCAAGCCTTCATCTTGAGCCAGCTGGAGGGAAAGGCTCCCACACCCTCAGAAAGGGGCACTTACAGGTCAAACACGAGGTAGTGAAACCCTTCTTCAGAAATACTGTCATGGAGGCGCACTGCAAGAGAGGAGAAGGGGACAGAGATTAACAGACAGAAAATTCAGAAACCTGTTCTCCTCCTCAGCAGCCCACCCATGCCTCAGCCTGTCAGCCACACAGAGGAGTCATTGTGAGAAGGAGCAACATGCCAAAGGCCCCTATGTCCAGGGTTACATGGCTACAAAGGGAGAAAGGCACCCAGACCCCCATCTCTCAGCACTACCTCAGACTGCCTCAGACACAGGCGAGAGATGAACATGATGGTAAAGAGAAGTCAGTCAGAAAGAAGCAGAAACCCTCCCTGAGGGGCCAGTCCTTGAGAAGGGGTGCTGGGATAATGAGGCATGACAGTGAAGCACCTAAGGCTTCAGCGTGATAGAGAACAAGACAGAGACCTGGAGACCCTGACTGCTCCCTCAGAAAAGGGAACATGAGCAGTAGACAGGTTCTGCTCTGCAGGGCAAACCCCAAAGACAAAAGCAGCCACTCAGGCAGATACATGTGCATTGACGCTCGCTGCAGGACCACTGGCCATGGTCAAAAGGCAGAAATGACTCAACTGTCCATCAAGAGAAGACTGGTTTGACAAAGTGTGGCACATACAGAGATGATGGAGCATGAAGCCGCAATACAGGGAGATGAAGTTGTGGTACAGGCTGCAACACAGATGCACCTTGAAAACATTTAGCTGAATGAAGTCAGTCAGACATAAAACAGACAAATGCTCCACGATCCCACTTACTTAAACTATACAAACTGGCAACTACATAGTGACCCAAGTTTAAGAGTGATTACCAGAGGCCAAGAAAAGAAGGGAATGGGGAGGTGTTGCTTTAAAGGGCATGGAATTTCTGCTGAGGGTGATGATGAAAAGCTTGAGGATGGATAGTGGCAGCATAATATAGAGGATGTGATTAAAGCCATTCAACTGTACATTTAAAAATAGTTCAAAAGGGGGGAAATGCACATGAGAATAAAAAGAGGGGGAAAGAAGGTGAGAAGGCCAGCCCAGCTTATGTTGTGAGAATGACAAGGGGCTGGATGCTGAGCCCTAGAGGAAATGGCACAGAGAGGCAACAAAAAAGGCAATGGAAGTTACATCCAATCCCAACAGATGCAGCCCTGTGGAGGCTCTGTACATGTATTATAGATTCCACAGTCATTTATTGTGTGCTGGGCACCTTGCTAGGTGACAAGATTCAGAAGGGGCAGCCAGACCATGTCCCAAGAAAGTTATTATTCTGACAAGGAGCTGAGATGAAGGCTAGTATAATTATACAGATAAGGAAACTAAAGGCCCTGAGGCTTAAAGTATCTTTACATCAATAGTCTGAGGACTTTTAAATAGTGGATGAACCTGGGTCTCAAAGAGTGGCTACATCACTGTTTCCTGTAAGAAATGTGGTGCAGTCCACATACCCAGGTAACAAGGTAACAAAGTTAGGAGACAAGGCTCCTTAATGTGCCTAAGACAGCATGACAGATCACCCAGAAGGGCACTGTGTGGAGGAGACGCAAACCATTCATCAACAGCAAGAAAAGGCTGGCAAGCAGGAGCCCTTCCCGCTCCCTGCCCCCAGAACTCTCGGGCAAAACACCAACCTAGTGTCTCCTGAGGCCTCTTCTTCAAGCTCTTGCCCACAAAGCCACCTCTGGGTTAGGTGCCAACCCTTGAGTATCATCTAATGTAAATACCAGCGGATGCTCAGATGCCTTGGCGGGCTGTCCCGCTATCGCTCCCCTCACCTGAACTCTCTGGAAGGGGAACTTCTGTTCCAAAGGCCTCCCTGTTTGACCTTTGCTCCAAATCCTCAGAAGTCCAGGAACTCCTTGAGGAGCACTTAAGGAATGGCCTGACACCAAACTGACCACTGAAGTTCTTAGATATATTCACCGCATCCCTCCCCAGTGACACAAGGGGTCTGTCACCACACTTAATCACACTGTGAGAGGACAGAGCATCAAAACGATGCTCTATAAAATTGTGTGCAGTGTTTCAGCAGAAATTCATTCTCTTCTAATAAAAATATCCCTGTAACTCAACATAACAAAAAAACAAAAACCTTTTTCCAGAAGTCCAGCTTACATGCATCACCATACCTTTAAGGCTCAAACTCTGTGTACATTTAGTTTCTGAATCTTCTAATTGTGCTCTGGACATAACTGTCATTATATCCAATCACAATGAGGCTTTGAATCACGTAGTTTCATTTGCAAGTACTACAAGCATGTGCTGCTGTTCCCATTGTGGCCAGTGCTTTTATAGTCCTGAGCTCTGGTGGCGCAGTCTGGAGGAAGATGTCCCACTAACCCAAAGCCTGCACCTCTTGGTCAGTAAAAGCCACCAGTGGGTCCAAGGTAGAAAGATGGGAAATCTCCTTCCCTGTGATTTATAGCCTCCGAAAAGTTGGGGAGGGTCAGTTATGAGTCCATTCTGACTAGACATGATGTCATTATATAATGACATGAGTGTGAGTTTGAATCTTGTTATATTTTCTGGTGTTTTATGTAGAGGATTGTGGTAAGCAGTATTTATTAACCTATTTATCAATAACTTCTGGTTTGTTTGTTTTTGTTTTTTTTTAGAATGAAGTAGCAATTAAAGGAAAAGGAGAAAACATTTAAAAAGGCTTCCAAGGGATGGGGTTTAAAAAAAAAGGCTTCCACTCAGTTACTAATAACGTAATTCAATGTAGAAAGATTTTGCAATTTTAATGTTCACATAATCTAAGAAATATGACACTAGAGTCATTTACAATGAATCGATGACATATTATCCTGTGATTAAGATTGACAATAAACAGTACTAAGAATTTCTGTATGGTCTGGTACACTGGGGGTGGGTAGGTGTATGTCACCATGAGTGACCAAACTGGGGGACATCAATCCTAGACATGTCACTGCCTTTCTCTTAGAAGGCTAGTCCTGCCGGTCACACTGACCAGAGGCTTCCTTCCTGCTGTCAGATGCACCACCTCCCACCAGAGCAAAATCAGTGCATCTCAGAACACACAGCCCATGCTCCCGGGGGCGTTTCCCATCTCTCTAACCCAGTGTTGCTTCTCGCCTGCCAAATGAGGAATCGGAGGCCTGCCAGGGCTGGAACTGGGTCCCAACGACTGTTTACACTTCATGCTGCCTACCTTATTTGAGCCGGTCTACTTACCCAATCCCACAATTCCATCCCAGACTCAGTATTTCTCTAGTTTACCAACAGGGTCAAAGAGCGGCAGCTCTCCTGCTAGTGCCCCACCCTCATATCATGGTCCCTATATGCAGGAAAGCGAGTGTACACTTCTCTAGGTCTGCAGATGACAGAGGAGGGCTTCCAGGGCAGATGGAAGGAGCGACAGCCAGGCTCCCGCCTCTCATCCACGCCGCCCCAGCACCGGGCTCCAGCCTCCGCAGTCCTGCCGCCCGCCCTCTGCATCCTGCATCGTGCCTCCCAGTCTTTCTCAGCGCCTCACGCTGAGTCCTGCTGCAGCTGCTGCTCCCTCGCTTCCAAAAGGACTTTCCATTTAATTAAAAATTTGCTATTAAAAAGCATTAAAGTGTGTAATACAAATAATCCCCTGGAAATCAGCTGTCCCAGAAGCTAAAGACCAGCTTCATTAGGGAGGTGACTAACAGCCATGGGATGGTGAGCTAACAGGATGGCAGGTACAAGGCTAACAACCAGTCCCGGGAGAGTCCTCTGCCCAGCCCTGCCTAGGCCTGGCCTCACCCAGACTCCCCAGGATGCCATCCCCCTCCATCCTGTTCCCCAGTACAGCAGGGCTGACAGCAGGGCACAGGCACCCAGACCTATGCCCAGACATGGAGACAGTGGCTCAAAGAAACGCCCTCATTTGTCCTTCCCCACGAGGCCACACACAGAGCCCAGGTGGGAGGAGGCCAGGGAGCCAGGAATGAGAAGGGGTAGCAGGGGAAGCCCAACCATGCCAGGCAACCAGTCAGTGCAGAGAAAGGCTTTGATGTGTGCCACCTAGAGAGGCATCCACCTAACACAGAAGACAGCAAGAGAGGGCGGGAACCCAGTAGGTCTGCAGAGTCATCTTCATTTAAATTTGTGAAGAAAATCAAGGCACTGGGGACAAGAGGAGGGCTGACCCATCAAATTCTTGGTTATGATGAAAAAAATAACCAACCCTTATTTGAGGTGTGTGCCAGGCATCGTGCTGAATGCTTTCTTTTAGTTAACCCTTGCATTAACTCTGTGGGGGGTTACTATAAATTACTTGCATCATAAGATGCAAAAGGAAACTGAGGCTCAAAGAAAAATGTGGGCAAGGTCAAACCGACTGGCAGAACTGGAGCCTGAACTAGCTGCCACCAGAAACACTGACGTAACAGAATCACATGGGAGCCACTCTCTCCACCCTCATAGGCAAAGGGACTCCCATCTGTCCCCATTAGTCTCGGACTATGCGATTCCTGCACATTCATCCCTTTAACACCTGCTTAGTGGGCACCTATGCTGAGGTAGCAGGACTGTAGATCTGATACCTGCCATGAAGTAGGCTACAGGCATGGCACATGAAGTTGACACAAAGCCGAGCTTCCACATGCATGAAGAAGTCAGGCTCTAGGCCAGCCATTTCACAATGCTGCTTGCTTCTGGATCGAGCTGGCACCCCGCTCACATCCACCCCACGCACCACAGAACGAGATGGTCCTGAGCCATCACTATGACTGGCTGAGAAGTGGGGCTTTCACTGGCTGACTGCAGAGGCAGACATCAGTTTGCCTTCTTAGTCCATCTTAGTTCTGAAGCTCCACCTCAGCATCCCGTGATCTGTCATCATGCAAGCTTCTGATGACAGATGAGTGGTGGGTTGCCCTCGAGGTACACGGGTCAGGATTAGACCCAAGTCTCCCACATAAAGGCAAAGAGCCTACCACTGGATCCCCTTTGCGCTCACACAAATAACTAACCATGCTGTGCTGAGGTCTAGGAAGGAGAAGTGAAGGGTGCTCTGTATGCGTGGCGTAAGAGAATCTGATGCTCATCCAATTCA